CACACAGAACCCCAATCCCCCCCAGGGCCTTGCCTCTCTGCCAAACACTGGGAAGGGCACAGTGAGCCCACATGCAGTGGGAACATCCCAGGAAAAGGCAGGAGTGAGCAAAGGTGTGGGTTGTGGGTAGAGGCCCCATCTCAGGGCACCAGGGTGAATGTATGGGGTTTTTTTTGGAATCCTCATCTGAGGATATTTTTCCATTGATTTTTAGATAGAGTGCAAGGGAATGGGGAGAAGAAGAGAGAAATTGAGAGAGATATCAATGTGAGAGAGAAGAAAAAATTAGATGCCTCCTACATAGCCCCATATGGGCTGGGATCAAACCTGCAAATTAGAACCACAAAGTTATGCAGTCTTTCTTTCAAGGACTTGGGCAGCAATGCACTATAAGCCAATATTGGTCAAAGAGTGATTTTATGGCATTATGCTGCCCCTCCTAAAGCACATAAAAGTTGGGAACCATACAATATCTGTTAACTCTACCATGAGGGATCACACAATTGTGCTTCAAAATCATCCCTGGAAATGAATATAACCAAAAAAATTAAAGGTACTAAAGAAAAAATACTTTTACTAAAAGATCAGAAACCAGAACAGATAACAGAAAGAGAGTTGGTGAATTAGAACCTGGAACAATTCATCACAGCATAATGTGAGAACCACATGTCCCTGACAGAGGCAGCACTTCTTAGCTGAGGATGGGTGCCCTGGATGAACCCTGGGTCAGGTGCATTACCTCCTTGGAGATAAATGAAGATCCTGTCAGGAGTGGAGGGATAATAATGTTCTCAAGCACAAGTGACAACACAGAATGCATTTCCCCTGAGCACGCTGGGGTTGAGACTGATACACAGTCTTCAGGTGAGCCAGGTGGCAGAGGTACAATCTCTTCAGCCACACTTCATTCATGTAATAGATCTGAACAACTCATGTGGCTTCTCTCCAGTGTGAACTCTGAGATGTCTAGTGAGGTGAGCCCTTCGACGAAAGGACATCCCGCATTCTCTGCACTCATATGGCTTCTCTCCAGTGTGAACTTGGCGGTGTTTATTGAGTGCACTTCTATCACTGAAGAGCTTACCACATTTAGTACACTCATATGACTTCTCTCCAGTGTGAACTCTGAGGTGCCTAGTGAGGTGAGGCCTTCGACGAAAGGACTTCCCACATTCTCTACACTCATATGGCTTCTCTCCAGTGTGAACTCTGAAGTGTTCAGTGAGGCGATACCTTCGAGGAAAAGACATTCCACATTCAGTACACTCATATATCTTCTCTCCAATGTGTACTCTGAGGTGTACAGTGAGGTGAGCCCTTCGAGGAAAGGATATCCCACATTCTCTACACTTATAGGGATTTTCTCCAGTGTGAATTCTCTGGTGTTGTTTGAGATAAGACTTATCACTGAAGGACTTTCCACAATCACAGCACTCATATCGCTTGTCACCACTGTGAACTCGCAGGTGTCTAATAAGGTTATATTTTAGGCTAAAAGACTTCCCACATTCAGTACACTCATATGGCTTCTCTCCAGTGTGAACTTTGAGGTGTTCAGTGAGGTGAGCACTTTGACAAAAGGACTTCCCACATTCTCCTTTGACAAAGGACTTCCCACATTCTCTACACTCATACAGCTTTTCTCCAGTGTGAACTCTGAGGTGTACAGTGAGGTGAGTTCTTCGACGAAAGGACTTCCCACATTCTCTACACTCATACAACTTTTCTCTAGTGTGAACTCTCTTGTGTTGATTGAGGTTAAAGATTTGTCTTAAAAGCTTCCTACATTTGTTATACTCATAAAGCAGTTCTCCAGAACACACACCCAAGCACTGAACAACTTTCAGGTTGTGGCTTGCAGCATTTTCACATTCACCCCACTGGTGATGACTTTTTCCCCTGTGAAATTCCTGTGAAATCTCATGGCCACAGGGTAGCTCCTCAGTGTTAATAGAAGTGTGGTGCTTAGGAATATATGAGTTGTATTGCAAGTCTTCCCCATACTCCCTGCTAGTTGAAGGCACTGTATATAAGTAGAGGCTGGAACTGCTCACAAAGGAAGCGCTGTCTATAGCTTGTTTCCAGAGCACCTGTCCACATTCATTCCTCTTTTTCTGTTGAGGGTTTGCACTGAAACAGAAGTCTACAACACATGAGTCACTACAGAATGCTCTCTGCTCAAAATATGCTACATGAGATCCAGTCAGGTGCAAAATACCTTTTAACACAGAGAAACATCGCTTACACAGAGGGATCTTCTGGGTGATTGGTGCTGTCTTAGAAGCCCTGACCTGTGACTCTCCTTGTATAGATACACTCTGATCAGAACAGGCCTCATCACCATCGATTTTATGCCAACAACCTGAAAAGTGAGAAAGGGTAAGGAAATGAATGTTGAATGTGGTGACAGGTGGAAGTCCCGTTACAAAAGTGTGTTACACATCACACGTTGGTTCTATGCAATTGTCTGAAAATGAGAGATGTGCAGGAAGGATTAATAAGAGGCTCTTGTAACTTTCTGGACTAATGAAGATCACAACATAGGGAGACCTCAC